GCGCGGCCGGTCCCCATACCCCAGGAGCCGGGGCGGAGGGGTGTAAAGGCCGGGTGTCGCAGGAAGCCTTTTGAGGCAGCGGGACGTGAAAAGCCAACGGTCAGGACCCTGGTGCTAGGGCCCAGGGGAAAAGCTGGGCTCGGCCAGAATCTTGCCGACAGTCGTGTAAGTGAGGTCTGTGTGCAGCACCCGAGAGGTCAGAGTATGGGCTTGTACTTCAAGCACCGGCAAGGCAGAGGAGACATCTCCAGCAGCTCCCGAGCAAAGATCACGCAGGTTATTTTCCTCACCAGACTTAGCAAGTTGCTTACCTCTGCCCATCATCCTAACTCCAGTCTCCACCGCAAGCACCCCTTACCCAGGGAGACCACGCCAGCTAAGCTACACACCTACGTTCTCACATCTGTCGGCCTTCCCACACGTGTTGCACTCCAAGTGAACCGGACACAACCACTAGCAGCACGCAGAGCTGTTCAAACACCAAACAGGCCCAAGCGCTTTCTAAATATGCCTGACTGCATGGCTACTAGTACAGGGCCCCAAGACGCCACAGTGACCGTTTTGATGCAGTTGATGACTTGTCAGATCAAGTGCATCCAGCAGCTCGCCTTTGCTGGCACACACCTTCCTAAAACAGCAAAACTGACAGCTCCTGACCTGTATATATGGTAAGGAATCCGAGTTCATGCTATCCTACACCAGCAGCTGCTTTTGTCAGATGAAAAGCACATGCTTTTTATGCTTTACATGCTCAACACTTCTAAACCTGTGCTGTCTGCACAGAAGCAGAGAACGAGTTTCCCAGAAAAAAGACAGGATTCAAGACAGGCAGTGCAGGCTACTACAACCCCAAACTAAAAGGTCTGCAGCAGACAGATGAACTGGGACTACCAAAATAAATCAAATAAGCATAAAAACACCTCCATGAAATACTAACTACAGCTTCAGACAAGTTTATATCAAGTCACCACAGAAAATCCTGCATTGGAAGGGATCCACAAGGATGAGGTCCAACTCCTAACTCCACACCGGGCAACCTCAGAGTTAAACTGTATCTCCGAGAGGGCGGTTGGAACATTTCTGGAACACCCAGTCTTCCCCAAGGAGTCTGTTCCAGTGCCTGACCACCCTCTCAGTGAAAAAAATTTTCCCTAGTGTCCAATCTGAGCTTCTCCTGATGCAGCATTAAGCCATTCCCTTGCATCACATCACTGGACACCTCCCGAGAAGTAGGACAACAAATAGTTGTCACAGGGTAATTAATCCCACTGTAACCTACATAAACCACAGAGCCCCATAAATTTGAGCATATCAGAAGATAGTCTGGATACTACCTATCACCACCAGCTCTCTTTTCAGACTGTTTGCAGTTCCCAGTTCAAGTCAGGGTTAGGAACTTTGACCTGCAGGGCAAAATAATTCTTAAAAGAGAAAATAGGTTCACTATATTTTTTTCCTCAAGTAGGTACCTGTAACGTGTTACACAGTGAGTATTTGTTTTGTCTGGTGAATTAAGACCATAGACACTTGGGTATTATACAACATTAAAAATAGAGTTTATTTCTTTATGCCTAGTACTAAGCAGGTGAACCTGTAGGTTTGAGCATGCCACATTTCAGAAAAGTTGAGTGCAAGAGTTTCCAAACACAGGTGAACTGAACACCAATTCACTGAAAAGTCAGACAGGCACTTACCATTAACAGTAGATAAGACTCACTCTTTGAACAACATAGCAGCCTAGTTGGAACAACGTTTGACTGAGCTTTGTTGCTGTGAATAATACAGCTCATGCACAGGTAAAGATGTATGATTTGAAAATTTTAAAGTATTCACTGAATACTACCAACATATATACATCCATATACATAGTTCCAGAAGAGTTAGGAGATTCAAAGATAACAGTTCATTTACTCTTGTCCTTTCGAAGAGGTCTTCTGAAGAGGAGAATATGAGGTTCTGTGGAAATAAGAGTGAACAACATGTCAGTCCGTCCTCTAAGTCTTGATTACGGGGATTCTATTTAAAAAGGCTTGAACCATAGTTGGAAGCTTGCTGTCAAATAATAAACAGGTAAGAAATCTGGCCCCATGTACAGTAAAGTTACTGCAAATTTGGTCTGTAAATACAACACCCAAACCAGTGGTTTTGAAAGTTCTGAACCACATGTTGGTAATACCTTAAGATACTTACACGGAGGTGGTATTGGATAAAACGGAGCACTCCGTCAGTATTGGTACCAACTCCATCTCTCCACATTAGACTAATTGATGAGCTTTGTTACTGTGACTTAAACTGACAAACTGCTGATGCTGTCCTTGTTAGGTATATTGTGTCAAGCAACAACAAAAGCCAAGTTAGTTCATGGACAGCTTACATTATTATTCATCTGACTTAATTGCAAACTCCTCCAAAAAAGCCCAGTGTATCAAAGGTGCTCAGGTGAGGAAACACTGGAAGGTTAAGTGAATTTCTTCACCTTCAGAAACTTGGAACTCCATGCTGCTGCATTTCACCTGTCAGCAGTTTTTAGCCAACTTACCAGTGGCAAGCCTGTCTTGAATGGCTGTTCTCAGTACATCCTAGTTGGTGGTGTTTGAGGGTTTCACACACCATTAACTGAATGACTGGGTATAGTTATACAGCCAGCTACAAGCAGCACTTGAAGAGTTCACACTACACGGAAGACTTTTTAGGCCACTAATTCAGAACCTTGTCTACGTGAGCATCTAGTAAGTTTTTGTACAAAAAGTAGGTATGTCAGCTTTACAATTTAAAGTTATGCTGCTAAATAAAGTTTGGTTCTGTCACTGAGATACTAACATTATTCAAGAGCTACAAGAAGCCTACTTCTATAGGCAGAGGTAGGAACAGCTTCCAGTCTGGCACATACTATCTACTTCTAGACCACAGATACCTAGTACAAGGTCAGCATTTCCGTTGCCTTGGCTGCCGAATGGCTATAACAAACAGCCAGGAGATAAAAAGGAGTCAAAACATTCAGCAGTGAATTCCAGTTGTCTTCCAAAGCAGGAAAAACTACGCACTACACAGTACACTACACAGATGAGCACCAGGCAGCTGATATTTTAGACCCTTTTGTTCATCTAATTCTGTCCAGATGTGCTTACCTGGCTCATGGATCATGTAGTGAACCCAGCCACAACTCTGCTGGACACCAAGGCTCCGCCACTCCTCTTCAGACATCAGATGGGATTTCGGCACTTGTTTTGAAAGTTCTTTTGGCAGCATCACGTGCCTGTAGAGGTTTAATAATTAAACACAGATTACATACATTAATGCCAATGTCTACACTGAAAGGCTGTAAGCAAGTTCAGTTATGAATATCAGCATTCCCTGTAAAGAAGCCTAAGGTGCTGATTAATACCACCAATTTGATTATGAAGCATCTGTCCCAGAATCTGTTTTTATATTCGTTGTGTACTAAACATTACATCTGAACTACAACTCTATAGCATGTGTTGCTGGTGATTAGCCGTCATAAAGGCTACTTGAAAAATAAGGACTTTTAGAATGATTGACAAAATCACCTGTTTGTATTTTGCATTTTGTAACCAACCATGCATTTTCCAGAGACTACAGTGCTGGTGTGGAAAGACAGAACACTAATGCCACTTAAGAGCCTGATCTGTCAGCTGAGGAGACGCATGCAGCCTGCTCTCCACATTTCCAAGTCCCTTTATCACTTAAGAGAAACCTAAGCATTCGGTCTTGTTTTTGAAATCAGAGCCAGTCGGTAAGAGAGCCACTTAGTCTCCACGCAGAAAAAAAACCCCAAACTACTTTGTAGTAGTGCTTTCATGTGTGCCTAGAAGACTGAACTTCAACAGTATCAGTTATAATGCAGAACTGATTGGTGCCACGGTATAGCCTTGAAAATTGTATGACAGAGTACAATGTCGAAGGTTTTACAAACTACCTTTATTAGTACTATGCTATGACGTGCCCTTATGAACGGGTCCTTCAAAGCCAGTGAAATCAAAGTGCACGCTTCATCCACTTTTAGAGCTCACACCGAGACAGTACTACGAAGCTGCTCTTAGCTGTGTAGTGCATTCGGAACGCTAGGGTTTGAGCTCCCTGCTTCG